GGGGGGGGGGGGAGATAAAGTTTGGGGAATGGTCAAGTTGACCGTTGGTGGGAGTGTAGTACATCGCTTGAAAATCTCGGCCCCTGTCAACCCCAGTCAGAAGAACGCGCCATGAGCCTCGTGTGACGTGATGGCGGCGAGAAATAGGTGTTCCTCCTCCTCTCGGCGAACGAATGTGGAATCCAAGAAAACGTGGATTGCTGCTCGGCAAAGAGAGATGAGGCCTCCCACAACCTGATGAAACTTCGGCCATTGTTGGGCGCAAGGGACAAGCACTGTCGGGCAGGGTGGTCGGAAGAGCTCTGTAGCGATTTATTTGCTGCCGCCGATTTTGCGACTCCCGGACTGGACGCCTACGTCAAGGCGATAGGTTGCGCTCTTCATCACCACTAGGTCCATGTACTTCAAACATTGCTCGTTGGAACTAAGAACGTGAGCGGTACGATTAGACTAGTGGCGGCGCGTTCACCTGATAAACAAGGGGCCCGCAGTCAAACAACATCACATCCGGGTCGAAACGCAATTTCTTCTTTCGTCGCCAACGTCGAGCACAGGGTACGAAATATATTGTATTTCGTGTAGGATCCCCACCGCTTGGCTATGTTTCATAATCATTAATTTCTGATATCGGCGAGATTTTGAGCCTCTCAGTATTTCTCAAAAATGTCAGAAAACGTTGTCTGTGTAGATTTACGCCCAGCCTCTTGTTGGTGAACATATTGTTGGGTTCGTTTCTCCTTGCGTTTCGGTTGCCCTTCGCTTCAGTGGCACACGACACGACAACAGGGAGAAAGAGGTCGCCTGATCGACCCCCGTCGTCGACGCCGCATCTGTGTTTTTTCTCCGATACGTTAGCGGTGAGATGCGCGAGCTATTTGGTAGCAACGGAGAGGAGGTGGCGAGACCGGGTGGAATAATAATGCTGTCGAAGGCACTAAGGTACTCCATGGATTCCCGCATACCTCTCTCCCCAACCTTTTCCCACACCCCTGCCAAAAAGGCAGCTGGGGGAAACTCTTCACCCCTCTCCCATCTCCAACGTGGTGTGTCATGCCCCTCGTGGTACGCCGCCATCGGAACGTGCGACCAAACGACCATATTTCCTTTTCCCGCGCCCCCTTTTTCCCTCACATTTCAATGCGCAAGACACGTAGTCCGACAAATAGAAGATCTGGGTCCGCGGCGGGAGGAGTGGAGAGGTGATTTGTCAGGGATTGGTCACATGTAACAGAGATCCTCCGACTGTATGCTGGGGCGTTGTCGCTGAATCGGGAACACATTATCTACAGGGATCCTGGGTTTTTGGCACATGCTGAAATGTTTCCTGAGGCGTTTTGCGTTCCCCTTGTGTATGTCTTCTGGGCCTAGAGACCACCGAGAGGTGGCGGCCATCATCCCGCGATCCCGAGGCTTGTCTTCGGAAGCTTTTCATGCATGTAAACCTCCATGAACCTTCTGGGGCAGCCCTTACCCCGCCTGTCGCGCCCGTCAGGCCGCGTGATCAGAGAAACACGTAGCTTAACTTGCTTGCGCTAACTTGCGCGCACACCATTTCGAGCTGTCGTAGATTTGAGTAAGTCCTCGAGCCAACCAAACCACCTATCTATTCATCTACATGGACACAAAAGGGAAACATTTTGTGAGTCGACCTGGACGGTTGTTTCTTGTACATAATAGGAAGCGGCAATGACCAAAGCAAGACAAGAGTATCCTCCATCGAACGTTCGTAGCCTGGCACACTATAATCTGAGGGTGCATTGTTGGATCCTATCTATCGTAAGCTCTTCGTCGATTATCGCAAATAGTGTGCCGTGATATACTTCTATTGCCGCATTGAGCAACAGTCGACGTCGGACGGTCGCAAACGCCCACCGAATAGCTCGTGTCCGTGTTGCATGGAAACCTTTCGAATTTCAGAGTTTCCACGCACATAGGCCCGCTCTAACCATTGCTTATCGGGTTTCACGCCCTAGAACATACGGCATGGACTACTGTACACATGCGCGAAACGAGGATCTCCCCAACGTCCACTTCCCTTCTTCTTGGTACACAATGTACCAACGTTATCTTCACCAACTGAATGTAGCGAAATTCGCTGGACTGCAGTCACGCCTGTTGACTTCCTTTCGTGTCCTACTGGGCTTGCCGTCCCGAACAACGTAGCCCGGTTACTGGTGCTGCGGAATCAGCAGCGTATCTCATCATCCACGTGAACCCGTCCTGATTTGCTGATCTGGTTCGCCGCGTGGTCGACGTTCGGTCTGTAAAACCCGTTGTAGCAGGCAAAGTTCGTCGAAACGATGGAGGCATGCCCGTCAGTAAGGCCAATGCTATTGCCACTCACAGATCAACACAAGAGGTTCAAGGCGGGAGAGGTGAGCAAGGACCACCTCAAGTTTCTGTGAAATCGAGACACGGAGGTGGGTCAGGCAAGCCCAGAGGAACCGCCTCCGGAGATGACGGAAACAGACGTTGGGATGATGGTGCGTAGCCTGCTTGACATCCGTTCATGTATCGAGTACGTGATGGTCACCACGCCTTCGTGCCAGACCGTTACGTTGTCCATTACTGTTTCCCAAACACGGATGGCCGAAGAGTGGACCCAGGGAAGATTTTCCAAACCCTAAAGCTTGTCGGGGCACATGCCGTGCCCCCCGGGCTGGTACCGCGGTTGCTGGCGTGGTGTGGACGCGGGGAGGGGCGCTACAAGGAGTGCTGCAAACGCGGATTGTTGTTAGAAATCAAGAAACACCTGGTATTGCTTATTGAGCTTCGATCTACTCATGGCGCATCGTGGATTGAGTGCGACATGAGGGGAAACTTGTTCGACGAGAGTCCGGGGAAGGTTTTGAAAGACAAAGACGTCCAAATTCACGAGCTTTTCAGCGACAACAAGTACGGGTTCCCCGGCCTTGGCCTCAGTTACGACGAGGTCTCGGAGACAGATTTTGATTTGGATGGTGACGACAAGGCTTTGGTGGAACGTATCAAGAGTATCCTGAGGGATCAGACGAACGTCAGGTTCATGATGGATAATGGGGCTGGAACTTTAGGATGACATGGCAGTTCTACTTGGAAACATGCTGCCAAACGTAACCCTGTGATAACCGCAACCCTGCACTCCAGCTGCATGCACATGCCCGCGGTACCCAAAGCTCAAGTTGGGAGCAGATAACTAAGTTGGGGAGAAAGAATTTCCGATGTAACGCTAAGGTACCGTTTTATCGTTGGAACGCTCAGGTGGCCAATCCTGGCGTGCGTGCTCCCCACCCCCGAGAGCGACGTGAAGCCCCTTGAAGAGATCAATAGATCATTCGAGGGGTGGTCGACCGTCTTGCGGAGCTGTTGCCGCGACGGCAAGAAACAGCGCAAGGGATTTGCGACGCGAAAGCTGTGGATGTTCTTCCTCTGTCCCGTTGACCGGAGCCTCGCCGAGTGCGGCCCTGGAGGGCAAGGCTGCGAGGTATGTAGACAAACGAAGAGAACACTGCAGATCGAGATAAGCACTCGCCTTCTCGATTTGCTTCTATTGGTTCACCCGTGTTCCCTTCTTGCCGTCGTAGCAAAGACTGATCGGTGTCACAAGGTTGAGGTCTTACGTGTCAGGTCGAAAGGGCGTCGTTGCCATTGCCACACCTTCCCCTACCGGGAAACATCACTCTGGAAATCGCAGCTGGTGCTCGCACCCTCTTGATCACTACTCAGGTGATGGAATAACTGCCATGGGCGAAGCAAGCGACACCATTTGCGAAGGTGGGTCTGGTCTCGATTGCGAAGGTGCAGTGGCCTGTCCGGTCGCCCCGGTGGTCTAGTTGGTATCCTCGAACCCTTCTAGAGGTCAAGTCAGGGGTTCGAATCCCGGCGTGAGCGAGCTTTACTTGCACAGTGAGTTTTTCTCTCGCTTCCGCTCCTGGCCTAGTGGATAGCGCTAGTTCGTGTGTACAAAGAGGGAAGAGAGTGCTGAACTCTTTTCGCATTAAAAATCGAAGGCAAAGTAACGCAGGAGGGGAGGGTAGAGAGGGGCTCTTCTGTGTGACCACGGGTTGGAGTAAACGGTACCAGTGCTGTGAGCGCTGATTTGAAGTGAAGAAAAAAAAAAAAGAACTGGACTGGCAATTCCTTAGGTGGACTTCGAGGCCACCCCTGGGACAAGACCCGGCGGCGCGTTCTCCACCCTCGTCGAGGAATCGCTAGACTCGGGCGGCGAGGCCTTGGCGAGCTCCGCCGAGGAGAGACTGGACGGCGGTTGGCCGAAGGGGCCGCTCCAGCACGGGGCACAACAGGTCAAGCATTTGTAAAAGATGCCGATTGGTTTCGTTGGAGACCGTAGGAAGTGGAAATTGTCTCACAAGCGCAGAAGAATAGCTTGTGCAAGACTTCCTGGGTGAGGTTCCTCCAGTGATGCTGGTGGTGAGTCCGCACATACCAAGAAGTGATGCGTGACGCCCAGGCCACGCGAGACAACGTCGCACACTCTACCGGGTGTTTTGTGAGTGAACCTAGTGGAATTCTGGATGCACATCAACCTCCATGTGGCCGCTTCCTGGCCGTGCGTGAGCCTGTTGAGCCTAAAAGCGCCTTCGGTATGTTGTGTCACGCCGAGGTTCGATCCTAAGCCTTTGGATGGTGGTGTCTGCCGTTGCACGAACGACCACGGCCTAACCTCTTCGTCCGAACTCTCAACCCACGCATTCGCTACCCTTCAATCTAGCAATGACCTTCCCCTGTGCAAGGCTAGGCCTGCGAAACACTCAAGGAGATTTATCGAGAGCTTCGAGGTGGATGGAAGGCGGGGCAGGCCTCCGTCCCCCAGCTTCGACGACAAGATGCAGCTTGTGGACAGAAGTGGGCAAGGGGCAGAGGGGGCATGGGTAAGAACCCAAAATATTGACCAGTTCCCACATTTGCCCGTCGTTTCACTCCCTCCTTCGTGGGGGATGACATGACGCAATATCGAGGTCATCGTGTTTCTCTGACCCTCGTGAATTCGCGGGGGCGGGTGTGTGGTGGCGTTGTCGACTGGTGATGCATCTCAAAGAAGCTATCATTCTTTCAACGGCGGAGTTGACGGAGAACATGAGATGGACGATGGACGAACCCATCGCAGCGAGAAACAGGGCAAGACAAGGTCGGTGCCAAGATCTGCATGTATGTAGAAATTTGACATGGTGTGCGTTAATCCGAGTGTTGATGGCTCCTACACCAATTTGGATGAGAAGAGTTGTGCTCGTTGGAGAAACATATCTCGACCTCGAAGAATAGCTAGCAAACTGTTTTTGGGCGATAGCTGGTTACCGGGGGCGTATTTCGGTTTCCTGTGTTTCCTTTGGAGTAAGGAGGCATACAGCTATTATTATGTTTTTCTTGTCTTTCTACCTTGTCTCTGCCAGAACCGCCGCCTAGACTTTTTTCTGAGCACGTGTTTACTTCGAGGTACGTGGGTATTCTTTCATGTTTTTCTTCGGCCTCGACCCTCTTTGCAAACATTGGACGATGGGCTCATTACCATAAGCGAAACGGTGTCGTTGTGGGATTCCCAATCCCACGCCATTTCATCACCCACTTTGGCACATTGATGGCTTTGTCCTTCGGATGGAGATGTGAGTTATTGTTGAGTTTACCGACGCGCACGCCTCTTTTCGTCGAGTATCAGTGTCTGATGTTAACTTTCCTTCCACCCTTAGTGTTGCGAATTTCGACTGCTATAGGGGTTTCGGAGACATCCTTAACCTTTATGCCACCTCTCGTTGGCTTTCAGCTTGTGAGCTGACTATTGATGGCTTTGTCCTTCGGATGGAGATGTGAGTTATTGTTGAGTTTACCGACGCGCACGCCTCTTTTCGTCGAGTATCAGTGTCTGATGTTAACTTTCCTTCCACCCTTAGTGTTGCGAATTTCGACTGCTATAGGGGTTTCGGAGACATCCTTAACCTTTATGCCACCTCTCGTTGGCTTTCAGCTAGTGAGCTGACTATTTTCGTTCTTACTTTGCGGTTCGCACGAAGTCAAGAAACACCTCATTCGCCTTGGAAGCCTCGTTCCTCTTGGCCGCGGAGAGGCGTGTACCTACAGCACAGGCATCTCGACGGCGCTCTTTCCCTGGTCAACAATGCCCGTCGAGTGAGCCTAGAGATCCTATGCATTAATTCTTGGCCATCTAAGTCAACAGGTTAACTTGCCACACCTCCCTTCCCACAGATACCTATTATCCAATACTAAACTACGTACACTCGTATTTCTCACAGCTCGCCCGCAGGTTGCTGCTACTTCGTGATTCTACTCGAGTCCTTGATGTTCACTCGCCTCAGATTTGCTACCCGTGTCATGCTAACGTCGGAACCTTGGAGCTCACTGTCCATATACCTTCGTTTTCCCGCGGGACCTGTGAACTCACGGCAGGGACAAATATGGCTCAGTCACCCAACTCGCTGTAAATACACAGGTAGGTGCTTCCCTCTCAACAACTAGCTGAAAATACACAGGTAGGTGCTTCCCTCTCAACTTTTCCCTTACCGACGTCGGCAGTTTAAACGCTACCCATGGCAAGTGGCTTGGATTTCGTGCGTGTACCACGTCATGGACACACTCGTGGGTTCTTCTCGAGTCGTGCAGCGAAGAGCAGTGACACACAATTTGAAACCCGGGTCGATCGGCGCACTACCCCCTATCGCCGCGCCGCCCAATGGGCGATAGCCTGGCCTAACCAATGAATGAACGAATATCGCCGGCTACATCAACTGCTGCTGTTGTCGTTGTCGTCTGGAAATTTAGCAGGTGTATCAACGGTACCAGAATCGATATTTTACCCTGGAAACCTCCCTGGATAACCACGCGCAAGAGTGTTTTCGTTCCTTTCTGACGCCATGAACCACGCGGTCGCAGGTGCCTACCCTCAGTTAATTAAAACAGTGTTAAATGCCTTTGACAGCGTCGGAAACAACCATCTCAAGCTGGTTGGTGGAAGGATCCCAGTTGTCGTACTGTCCGCCATTCAATGCCGCACACCTGTCCTCGAGCAGAACAAGTCAGCAACGAATGAACGGCTAGGATGCGTACAGGGAGGCGTTGAGAATGCGGAGGGCAGGAGAGGCCTATCTACAATGTGTCAATGCGTCAACCAATGCCTAACGTGGTACAGCCTAAACTGTACGTACGGTGTCTGGACACGGACAATCTACGAGGAAGGCGTTATTCATATCGCACGTGGGCCTGCCGGTGGATACCAAAGGAAGAGATGATCCCGCAATCGTCGTATTCTATGACACGCGAGCCTGCAACCCAAAGATACACACTTGCCAGATGCAAATAACTTGGGAAACAGTACTTAAATGACATTCTCGATTACTCTCATCTCCTTCGGAAGAAAGGTGCTTTTCAACAAATACAAATGCATACGATGAAATGTTTCTCTTGTGGTTGCCAGTGCCAACTGCGACGACCGCTCCTGGTGTAATGCGAACAAGTTAGGGCCATTTCTGATCGAATTGGTAACACACAGCGATATATCTCCGAGTTGGACCAGTCGATCAGGGACGAACAATCGGAAGCGTAATTCTCAATTCGACCTCGGGCCTGTGGAGGCAAATCATTGAGGCATTAACGAAGCGGTTGAGTGCCATATCCACAACTTGCGGTTCACACCCCCACGGCAGAAATAATCTCTTAGCCCTCGAGTGCGCCAACAGGACATTCGAGTAAGTTGAACGTGTCCGCACACAGCATCGCCTGTAGTTCTTCCCGGAGTGGCCGTTCCTATTTGTTGCATAGGGAACGTCGCAAGAGAAACCGACTGGTCAGGGCCCACATTACCACACAGCTACCGCGTTTGGTGCAGTGCTGCCATGCTTCGTCTGTACCATGACACTTGCCCGATTTGTACAAACCGGAAGAAAGCTAACATCAATACACGTATTGGTGTGACTGTCGTTCAGTCTCGGCAAAATTGGCCATCAACAACGTGTACATTTTCATGCATGTCCTTGTTGGATGCGAAAAGTTGCACGTGCTTCGGCGCTGTAGAAGCAGTACATATCTTGCGTCTACGTTGACGATGCACCGATATTGCGAGTCCATGGTGCTCTTGAAAACGAAAGTTGCAAATGAAATTTACACGCGCGTTTGCTATTTGTAACCAGAGCTAGCTTCGCTTGGCGTCAAGGACGACCCGAACTTTCACAAAATGGTCGCCCACACCCACCCACCTTGTGCGTTTCCACGATCGTCCCGTTCGTCCCAAGCATTCCCTGGCTGATGAGCTCTTCAACTACTCTGAACGAAGGGTTGATGAGCTGGTCATTTTGCCCATTCGTAAGAAATGACATATTTATCCCACTTCTTGCTGGCGACAACAGTCAGAACATACAGCAACGGTAGCTTCACGAGGACGAAATCACACCACAACCAGTTTCATGGTTGTTGAAGTGGTCAACGGAAAAGAATGAAACGACGTCAAGAAGATGAAACGGAAATTGGCAAGGGAGCACATGGTGAGATGTGCAAACTGTGATTTGTTAGCGTTGGTATCGCAGCCGTTTCTGCTACAAGTGAGCGCCCGGCGAGATGGGACACATGCCTTTGCACTGCGCTGTGCAACCCATACCGTGCTGAATTGAACCACTCAGCCGCCGATGTGCGGTTGATTATCGCAGAAAAATTCGAACGACTTGACGCTTTAGAGCTTGTTTCCTGCTGTAGTCTACCTTCGTGAACGGGAAAGAACCGCGGAACAAAAAACAGCTGTTCGTTCTGCCAACAATTCCTCCCCCAGGAACCAAGAAGCAAAGTAACAACCCGATATAGTGCACCCAATTTCAGGAAGCACCGTCAAAGGACGATCGATACGCGCGGGACAGATGGGGAGTTCGTGTTCCGATAGCAGTAGCAGTCTTCCCTCTATGACGCGCCTGTTGCGGGCAACAGCGAAATACCATCGTTTGCCCCGGTATTCGGGGACCGTTGTTTGGAACGGTGCGAACGTCTGAGTTCTGAATTTGTTGGAGACGTGGCTCCTCGCGACCTCCAATCGATTTTGCTTTGGAATATATCTCATGGGAATCGTGGAGTTTGCGGTCAACAACCGCAAACCTTACGTGCTTCACGTTACCTGCCCGTAGTGGTGATGTTTCGTGCCGGGCGTGAAAATATCCCCGAATCGAATGTGAAAGACAAGAGACCCAGCCCCTTTTCTGTCGAGGGCCGAGGTTGACCCGGTCGCTAGTGGACTGGGTTCCTCCTCATCTGCGGCGAGTAGGTGTCGGGGTGTTGGACAAGAATCTTCTCCGCCTAGCGATTCCTGCTT